CACAAACATGGTAGCTTCCCTGAAATAAGATGAAATCTTGTGTGACGATTGCTATGCATGTAGGATAACCCATTCATATTATATATATATTATATTAATATATCTCATAATGGAATAAAATAGTTGTTGACTAAATAGTGCTGGATTCTGTCGTTTATCATAGCTGGTGCTTAGTTTAATTGCAGCACAGGTACATCATTTACAAAATTAATTGCTGCCTCTTGGGACACACGTGGTACTCTTTCATGCTGATCACAAGCTATGTTATGGATCATTGCAGTTGCCACAATCACAGCCTGTGCTGCATCTAAATCACGCAATCTTATTGCTGTAGCAAGAACTGGAAACCTTCTTTTCCAGATGCCATATTTTCTTTCCGCCACATTCGTTGTTCGCATCAAAGATTCATTAAAAAGGGATTCGGCATTGTTTGCAACACTGCGGAGTTGTTTGATTAGATAGGGCTTGATAAGGTAGACACTATCGCCTACCAGTAAACTATCATTTCTCTTCTGTCCAAACTGCCATAAAGGGCAGAGTTGCGGAAAATGTGTGAATCATGTGCCGATCCCGGCCACCTTGCTACAATATTCCTAAATTTATGATCGGCATCCGACACTGACTGAACATTAAAAGAGAAAAATTGTTTCCGATTTCTAAATATTTCGGCATTGGTTATCATATCATGAACTTCCTGTATTAGGTCTTCTGCAGAATCTGGTGTCAACCGGAATCGACAGAAAAATGTTCATTGAATTCCTCAAAATAATCTGTTCTTGGTCTGAATATTCGTTGCTTTATATCCTCTTCACCACTACTGTATGCATTTATATCATATCCTTAAATTTTTGTGGTATAATAATATAGTTGAAACTTCAAACACCCCTCAACACAAATCAATGATTGATGGATTGGCAAAATATGGGTCATGTTTATATAACTATAGGTTGACATGAACCTGCAGTCTGAGTTAACTTGACTAGCAGTTGATTACATCTTTGTCGATAAACTACCGATTGTGAAACAGTGTGGTTTACTTAACCGATAGTTCTGAAGGAAGTGTTGGTTAACTGCATATTGGAAACTAGCCCTAAGTAATGGTGATTTCTTATGTTTTAGTCCCAAGTACCGATATAACCTTAAGTGTTAAAATATGTATTTTATATAGCATTTTTGCTAGTTCAGTGGATTTTTATTTATGTGATTGTCATCATTTGCCACTGTGCTGTGATGTCAAGTATTCAATCTCAAACCCATGACATCAGCTTTGTGAGATTGTGTCAAATAGAAATGTCGATTACAAAATTCAAAAAGGCACCTTATCAAGTTTCGCGTGACATTTTAGCTCTCACATACAACATTAACCATTAGACATTCGAGAACCGCCTGCCCAGGCCTAACAAAGCTCCTATTGAACTCGATAGCTTTTAACTTTTATGGTTATATAGGCTTATACCTACCTTTAATTTACAAATTGCAGTGTAACTGTCAGTGACAAAAAGCAAATTCACTTTTTATTTCTGTGAGGTTGGCTCCTTCAAATATGCTTTCAAGTGCCTGGATGCATGAATCCACTCTTAGGAAGATAATTCACCTCTTTATCCTTCCAAAATAGATATGGAAAAAGATGCCTAGATTCAAGAAATATTGAAAATTTTATACCTTGGTGTGGGCAGCAATTTTATAATGATATTTTATATTATAGTCTCAAATTTTTAGGTTGAGGTTCCCACTAATATAAAAAAATATCAGATAGGGCAGGGCATGTTTAAACTCAATTTCAGAGCATTTACCCATTATACATACTTGTAGCCTGACACTACGCAATCCAAAGTCCAACATTGATTTGTGAACAGGTATCTCCGAAATCAACAATGCAGTTGCACTCGGGATTCAATGTTTCTTATCCAACATCGCATAAAGTCTGTGAGAACGAACCACATCTGAAAAAAATGCGATAAGTATATAAATATGAATATGCAATGATTTGTTTTATATCTTACCTACTTTCATCAAGGAGCAGCTTGGTTGTAAGCTGTTAGCTGTTAATAAATATACATCCACTTGCATTGTTCATTTTAGGTCATTAATACCAGATATGGGACTTGAAGATACCACAGCTTGACGAATTTGTTCAATGTAGGGAATTATTATTGAGTCAACATTATTTGCAAGAAAAATGTGCTTCGGCATTTGATTCATCTGTGTAAAATTTCTTAAACGTCAAAAAAAGAAACATAACCTAACATCACAATTGACTTGTGATTGACAGCAGACTAGAAATCTAAAGCAGTACATACAAGTACCTTACTGAAGATGACATGCTATTATGACAATCAAGGAGGCCATAAAGGCGTTCTACATTTGTAGGAACGACTAACGATACGGCCCTATGAAGAGAGACCTGGAGGCTATCACTGTTTGGGGGCGCAACAATCTTGTACGGTTTATTGCTACACTTCAAAAACACAGTACTGTACCTTGACGAACAAAAAGCATCCTAGAACTCATCCGGTTTCGAAGGATGGCTGAGTTCTGCCAAAGAGCCGTTCGTTTTGGCTGGTTGGATTCCAAATCACCGAGGACTTAATCTGTCAGGAACAAGGGGTTCTCATCTTTATCCCACAACGTCAACACGGGTGTTCCTCAGGGATCGGTCTTGGCCCCGACACTGTTTCTCTTACATATCAACGACCTTCTTTCCTACACGATCAACCCAATCCACAGCTTCGCTGATGACAGCATTCAACATGCAGGAATTCAGAGTGACAAGCCGATCTCTGCCTCTGAGTTGGAAAAAAGAAGACTAGCGACGACTTCCTCTCTGACAAGAGACCTGGAGGCTATCACAGCTTGGGGACGCTACAATCTTGTGCAGTTTGATGCCTCAACAACACAGTACTGTAGTTTGACGAACAAAAAGCGTCCTAGTGCTCATCCGGTTTCGATGAATGGCCGAGTTCTGCCAAAGAGCCATTGATTTCGGCTGGTTGGAGTCTAGATCACCGAGGACCTGATCTGGCACGAACACATTCGTCAATAGCGGCAGCTGCTGGGAAAAAGCTAGGCTATTTGCTTAGGGGTAAGAAGTACTTTTCTCCGCATGACCTTCTCACTCTATACAAGGCCCAGATGAGGCCTAGCTTCGAGTATTGCTCACACGTTTGGGGTGCTGCCGCACCGACTTCATTATTTATACTCGATTCTGTCCAGAGGAGGGTGGTCCGACTTATCGATGACTCTTCTCTAACAGACAGTGTCGGGACTCTTTCGGAACGGCGGGCCGTCGGCGATCTGGCTCTTTTCTACCGCTACGCCAACGGGCTTTGCTCCTCGTAGCTCTCTTTCGTGATGCCGCCGCGCGATGTGCCTGCCAGACAGACTCGCCTGACTTTGGCCTCCCATCCTAACCGTGTCGAACTTCGTACATTCAGAAATGTCCGATACGACCGCTCCTTTGTCCTGATGGTGTCGAGATTGTGGAACAATCTACAAGAGGAAGCTTTTCCCAGTTATACTAAGCTTAGGCAGTTCAAAAATCATATTAACAAAATTTCTTTGGGATCATCATAGCAGCCGCGGTGTTCCGGCATTTAAGCTTCTGCCTGCGCGGCTGCTTCGATATAAAAAAAGGCACCGATAAGGCCTAGCCTCGAGTATTGCTTACACGTATGGAGTGCTGCCGCCCTGACTACATTATTTGTCTCTCTCTTCTGTCGCTACATCAACGGGCTTTGCTCCTGAGAGTTCTCTTCCATGATGCCGCCACGCGATGTGCCTGCCAGACAGACCGCCTGACGTTGGCCTCCCATGCTAACCGTGTCGAACTTCGTACATCCAGATCTGGCCGAAACGACCGCTCCTTTGTCCCGAGGGTGTCAAGATTGTGGAACAATCTACAAGGGGAAGCTTGCCCCAGTTAGACTAACCTTAGGCAGTTCAAAAATCGGATTAAAATTTCTTTGGGATCCTCATTGCAGCCGCGGTGTCCCGGCATTTAGGCTTCTGCCTGCGCGGCTGCTTCGGTATAAAAAAAACCTGTTAATATTATTTTTTGTATCAGTAATTTGTGACATAGTTTTTTCGATTCATATTTAATTCACAACTGACAAATTAATTTTAACACAAGTTAGACTAATAGCAGTGTCTAAATCACTATAAGCCACCTATGTCTACCTGCTACAAAAAACATGTATTCATTTAGCCCTCATTCTAGTCGTCAAACGGACTAACCATTTCCAAAACCACAGAAATGACTATAAGTCCGCTGTCACGTGACGAAGCAAGTATGGCTATAAGTCGCAGTTCTAGCAGGCTATAAAATTCCATAATACCACTACAAATTGCACTTTGAACTGCATAAAATAAGCAAAACTAAATTAAACTGTGCTAATGTAAATAAACATAATAATGATGCAGTTAATATAATAGAAGCTAAAAAATAGTGAGGTAGGTACTAGATACCAGTTATGTATTCTGGATCTCCCTGTATACAGAGGAATTGAATGCATATCATAGTTGCAGTATTTTCTCCACGAGGACAAAAGTTATTCAGGAAAATGAAAATCGCCCATTTGATGTAATATCTGAAGCTTATCCTGTTCTTTTCATGCTGATAAATCTCCACGTTCAATTCATTTGATCTGCCGCTACTATATAGTAAGTTGTAACAACAGGCCAAGACAGCCCTGCACCACGCTGACATTGCGTGAAGCCGTCAATACGATTTTAAAAATTGAACCACGCAAAAGTACAGGACCGTTTATGGCTTTTTACAGGCTGGGCGCCTTTTGGGAGCAGGGATGCACTGTGTAGTAGCGGCAAAACATAGATAAATATAAAATACTCGTATATGAATTGTAATTGTCACTTTTAATTTGTACATTGAAAAAGGCCACCAAGGTGGCCGAAACGTTAATAAACAGTCGATTCCTACATATATGGTTTTAGTTAACGGCCAGAAAGATATAGAGACTTATCGCATATTTACTTTTTAATAGGTGAAGCCCCCCCGACGTAATCGTACCAATCGCTATAAATCATTCACATCAGGAGGGAGTGAGTCCACGCATACAGAACCTGAAGCTACTTCTAAGCGACCCGCTCTACCTAAGCTCAAAATCAAACCGATGGAAGAAGGCAGACAAGAGGATACTACGTCTCACAAGTGGATATATCACCACTCAAGCCAACAGATATCACCTGTTACTAACGGGGTCAGTTCCATACAAAGTGACAGCCAGTTACAGGTAAACAAAGACGTATAACGTAATCGTGGTATTGAGTGAAAGGAGATGACACATTCTTTATAACAAATGGTGTTCCCGGTCGAATTAGCTGAAATTTTAAAATGTTGTTCCCCATACCAATTTGATCAAAAGCCTCCCTTGGCGCATCGTCCTGGTATCGATGGTTTCCGAGTTATATACTAAATTCCAAAAAAATATGAACTTACGAAAGACACCAACACGACTCCTTATTTCTTTAAGCAAATATATAAACTCAGTACAATAATGCTGATTTGACCCATCTATTGAATGTTAGCGGTTAGTGGGACATATTTTTTACACATTTCTTCATTGAAGTCGCTTTAATTCTCATGGAAAATAATTGTTGTCTCCAGCCAAAGTACACAATAGGGCTACCGGTAGGCCGCTCAGCACTTGCTACTGGCGTAAGGACTCGTAGATTTCAATTCTTTTTTCCTTTTTGAAAGAGATGTCAGCTGTATTTGATTAATACCAGATAATTACAAGATACAAGATAAGCTAAAGGTAATTAACAAAAAGTAGGAACAGTCAAGATATTAAATTCCAAAGAAAATAAATAATCAACCAAGCGTCAACCTTGAAAGGCAGAGGATTCAAGTAAAAAATAAGCAAAACATAATAACACCACGTTATCAAAATAAAAAAATATATCAACAAGATGGAAATTGGTTAATTGTGTAACAGTAGGACTGATGAAAATTCAATTTTAGAACAAGAGTAGTGATTAAAATTTTGCTGACCAGGCTTGATTTAAAATTTTAGATTTGTTTGGCTTGTTTGTGTGGATTAACCTGGCTGATATCCAGTAGCAACAGAACTCTCGTGGTCTAGATCGAAGCTCCTCCTTTGCGTGGTCGTTTCGTTCTTCAGGCAACTTGGAGTGGACTACACGGGGCCAGGAACGATTAAAAGTTCTATCATTTGTCTTCCCAAGTCCACTGCATTAAAGCCACTTTCCCCGAATCGTCGTGTTCTTACAAGAGAGCAAAGAATTGGTAGAAGTACTCTATTGATTACGCAAAATTAGGAGGTCTGCCTTGACCTGAGATATTCAAAGCTAAATAAATTATGATTCAATACTGAAGTTAGAAGCGTTGAACATTTTCTAGAATTTACAAGGCAAATACAGAGTCCTTAGAATTTACATATGAAAAATAAATCTAAGTGCATTCAATCTCTCTTTCAATCAAGAAGGTAAATTACAAATCAAATTTAATATTTATAGCACAGAACCGTGAGATAGTTTAGTAAGTGAAATGAAATCATCCTAAATATGTAGAACGAAATAGCTAAGAATACATAAAAGCATTTTGATGTTCTAATTTAAAATAAAAAAGTTAGAATACTGAAACTGTTTTTATACTAATCAAAATATGATTGAAATTTAAAGATTAAGCCAATGACAAGCTGGTGAGAAAGGATCAAGAAGAAAAATTTCGAAATTTTATGACTATATAAGTATATAAAAATAATAAAGCACAGGGTTTGTGAGCCCAAGTACGTCCACTGCGGATCGCTACTTCACAGTTATTTTAAAAGTCATAATTTTGAATCCAAAAATTGTGGATATAGTACAAAAGTACTGAAGGTAGACACAAAACTGTATCATAAATACTAGGGCTCGTTTGAAAGACACACGAGTCCACTCCGGTATTACTCAGAGGCACAATTCTTAGGCACGCCATCACTCTGAACTAGCTGTTGAGAAATCTTTTTTTGTCCGGCGATCTGTCGGTGAAATCGTGAAAGTCAGTGTAAAGAACAAGGAAAGAAGAAGAAATAGAAAAAATAAAAATATTTTTGAAAATATGCACATTAATTTTTATATGCTCTTATTAGTTAGCAATGACAACTTATATATTGACATTTTGTTTGCTAATTACAATATATTGTTTACCACTACCTGAAGCATATCTACCAAAAATATCCAGATGAGTATCGAACTAAAACCTTTAGGCTGTTAGTTATTTAAGATAGCGTTAATGAGGAGTTAGATGGCATCACAGGGATCTAGTGGAACTACTGTGGTATTAGTGGCATTACTTGGCATTACTCCACAAAAAAAGCTGAAAATAATGTCGCTTTGTGGCATTAGTGTATACAATTTGGCTCACCGGCTTACCGCCTGTTCATACCTTATTTGACAGCACATAAGAATAGATTATACTGTTGTTTCTTTTCACTCTTACTAAGAGCACTTTGAAAAAGGGGCGGATTTCGATAGAATGACCGCAAACGAGGATTTCGTAATGGTAATCTTACAATTACTCGTGCGAGTAATTAATTATTATAAAATAATTCTGGTGACAACGCCAAGGGGCATTGCGAATTGTTTTGCTAGATTAGTTCAGTTTTTGTAAAAGGGCACTTGAATGAATACAATTCATAGAGAAAACATTGAATCAGTGCATTTATTTTATGAATTCTCTTTGTTGTAAGGCATTATAAATCTATGCCACGTAAAATGTGTAGCATTCAGTGGCCTTTTTCAAATACCATTTGAATCGGATTGCTGGCGTTCTCGCAAATGAGAGCGATTTGCGAAACTAGGAGAGATCGCAATTGACTCCCAAGAAGGAAATATGAATTAGGCGATACGTATTCCGCCTACAAATATTGAAAATGAAATTTCAACTACCAACACTGCAAAAAGAATCAGAAAATATTTACAGAAGTGTAACAGTTTCACGTTTGGTTTTGGCATTAGTCCAATGCCTAGTTGTCATTCATTCCAATATCTTAATTTTTGTAGGTGGTCTTGAACTCTTCCAAAACGTCAGACTGTATAAACGGTCCCAAATCATCAAAGAAAAGAAGACGTGAAAAACATAGGAATAGGTAGGTTACTGGAAATAAAAACGAAACCTTTTTTTTAAATAGCTTTAGATCTATTTAGCACCATTGCTGTTACATCATTATTTATCCAGAAGTAGGCCTAAATCAGGATCACTAATTACACATGGCTGTATAACAAGATCATTTTGCCCCAAACGGTCCATGATTGTTAATAGGTACATATCCCACAACACTTTTCATACCCCGATAACCTCACGATCCAAACTATGCTTATATATGACATTTTGTTAACAGAGAAAGACGTTAAACTACTATCACTCCATTTAATTTCATTTTGAGGGCCCGAATTTCTTGCCGAAAGTTTAACTGACACCGATTGATATCTCAACCAACAAAAATATCTGTTAATGGTGGTACGTATTGAACTCAAGTGTACTGTAACAAGAATGAATGGTACTCCTAGCGCCATCTGTTGTTAGTTGCGCCAGGGACTCTCCTTCAGTGCGAGACTGACCCCGAAGGTTTTGGACTGGCCGCTATGTGGCGTATCGGAACGTACGAGTACCTGCGATGCGGAATATATAAGTCGACGGCCGGAAGAGGGAGCCAGAGTGAATGGCGCGACATAATAATTCGTAAATAAGTAGTCAGACATAAATAGTGGTGCGCATAAATGTTCTATCTAGTTAAGTTAAAGTTAGTTGTGTTGTGTGTGAAATTAATTAGTGCATCTCCTTTTATGGAATCAAGTGTTCTAATCCACACCCAAAAGAACTCAGAAAAAGGCTACATTGGTGTCAGGTGTGGGGTGTGGATTATTGGACATTTAGTGAAAATAAATCGGAAGATCAGTGAAGGAAGAATGGCGCGATTGGTTGATTTGAAAATTGCCGATTTAAAAAGAGAGCTGGAGGAAAGAGAGTGCGACATGGCTGGAAAGAAAGCGGAATTGCAAGAGCGGCTTCCTAGAGAACTGATTGAGGAAGGCGAGGACCCGGATAATTTCATTTTTTGGTGCAGGGGATATCGGTTTAATGCTGCAACGCCTTTCGACCAAGTTAGAAAACAAGCTCATGGAAAATTGTGTCGATCTTTCAGAAAACTCAGCCAAGTTAGAAATTAGGCTCGTGGAAAATTGTGCCGATCTTTTAGAAAACTCAGCCAAATTAGAAAACAAACTCGTGGAAAATTGTGCCAATCTAGAAGGAAAATTCGTGGAGTTACACGAAAGTACAGCTAAATTAGAAGAGAAGAGTTGAGTGAATGGCGCGACATAATAATTCGTAAATAAGTAGTCAGACATAAATATATATATAAATGTTCTATCTAGTTAAGTTAAAGTTAATTGTGTTGTGTTTTAAATAAATTAGTGCATTTCTTTTTGTGGAATCGAGTGTTTTAATCCACACCCATAAGGACTCAGAAAAACGCTACAGTACTTATGTGGGTAGATTTTTTTTATAAGTACACTGTATTCTAGAGAATCTCACACTTCCGGCAGAAAATGCTGACAGGGCTATCGAAAAAAAAGGTTGAATAAGTGTGCTTTCCATGTCTGTGACAATACAAATTGTATACGGTGTCGTTCTATGCTTATCAGCTATCACTAATACGGTATAGGTCTTGAAATCAGACAACGGAAAGCATGCAAAGGTGTGTCTGTCATCAGTAGACAGAAGCGAAGGAAATCAAGAAATTGGTGATTCCATCTATTTAAGGTCATACATACTGTATACTACAAAAAACCCCTTTGCCTATGCTACAGCTGCACTACGACCTGAAAAACGTTTATTTTCCAGTTATTCCCCTGGATTGGATGCTTTTTCTATTAAAGAGCACAAAAGAAAAAGAAAAAAGAAGAGATTTGACTTGGATAATAAAGTTCCTCATCCAAGAATAACAATCAAGGTAAGTCCAAGAGCTTTGTGAATGAAACAACTTACTCGTAACAAAAATTAGAAAACTAATAAAAACTCATCGCGGGAATAACTATAAAACTCAAAATACAAATGACTTTTAAAAATCACAAAACTTAGGAATAAGGTATCAAATCTGCTTTTTCAAGCATCCATCTGAAAATCTCGAAAACTATAAGATTTTTAATAAATCAAATTTTTACCATCTAGTAGGCCATGACGTGCCCTACCTACAGTTGCAGGATTATCCTTCAATTTCGTATATACAGTGTGTTTCAATTTATTGTTGCATAACTTTAAGGTTCGATAGAACTTTTAAAATTAATGCATAAAGTCTATATAAACATGGGTCGAAAAATGCGTGCCTTCCGAAATACAGGGTGTTTAAATTTACTTTCTAAAATAGTTTTTTTTAAATATTTCGAACAATATTTGATGTATAACAGTGAAAATTAGTATACAAGGGTTTTTTGGTACGACAAAACGAACCATGGTTTTACTGTAGCTGCTAGAGGGCGCTCTCTACTGTACCTGTAGTGTATTAAAATGACCGAAAAAATTTTCTTAGTGCAATTTTTTCCTTTTTGAATAAAAAAACTAATTCTTCGCACTTTTCAACATAAAATAGCTCTCCTGTGAGTTTTCGTTATAGTTAGCCGTTTTTGAGATATTTCGATTTAAGGTTCGATGCATTTTTAATTATACTAAGTGACATATAAATCCGAACACCCAATTTAAATGGTTTTATTTTAATAAAAGTTGGTGAATGTATTTATCTTACTGTAAATAACAAGTGAAAAAATTTTCAGCCTTATCAGTTGGACATTCCGGTTTTTATACTGCTTTTTTTTAATTCACTAACGCTCTAAAAATGAATATTTCAGCCGCAGTAAAGAATCAACGTTGGCGGATTTTGGTTCTTGACATCCTTTACGATCGGTTACGATGCCTAGAGTACGGAGACCTGCACGATTTCGTCAACTTAGTGAGTTTGATAGGGGCCGTATAGTGGGACTTCGGGAAGCTGGACTTTCTTTTCGGGCAATTGCAGTTAGAGTGCAAAGAAGTGTAGACACTGTGGTTAGGTGTTGTCAGACATGGCTTCGAGAAGGCCGTACGCAAAGAGCAAGGGGCACTGGACGCCGCCGTAGAACAACAGACCGTGAAGATCGCCGCCTGAAATTATTGGCCTTAAGGGACCGTTTCTCCACTACCAGGTCCATTGCAAATGAATGGTTTGCAGAACACGCAAGACCTATTGGCATGCGAAGTGTTTACCGACGAATGAGAAGTTTTGGCTTGTTTTCATACCGGCCACACTGGGTCCTCCCTTTAACTCGAGAACACCGACGTAATCGCCTTGAGTGGTGCAGACAACGGTCACTCTGGGATCAGGAATGGAACAGTATTGTCTTTAGTGACGAGTCTCGATTTTGTTTAGGCATGCACGATGGTCGTGCCAGGGTTAGAAGGCGACTTGGTGAAAGGAGGAATCCACAGTTTTTTGTTGAAAGACATGTTCATCACACTGTTGCAGTTATGGTATGGGGTGCCTATGGTTTCAGGTCACCTTTAATCTTCATCAGAGGTAACATGAACGCGCAGCGTTATATCCACGAAGTTCTAGAACCCCATCTTTTACCCTATCTTGACACCCTGGCAGATCCAACTTTCCAACAAGATAATGCCCGACCACATGTTGCAAGAGTCACAATAGACTTCTTTCAACATAATGATGTCACATTGTTACCATGGCCACCAAGATCTCCCGACTTATCCCCAATTGAGCACGTGTGGGATATGATGGGTAGGAGATTGCTCAATTTGCACCGTCCTCCTCAGACTATAGAAGCACTTCGAGAGGAGTTGGTGGTTGCCTGGAATGAGATACCACAGGAGGACATTGACCACCTGATCAGAAGCATGCCTAGGCGCGTTGGAGAATGCGTAGCACATCAGGGTGCATCCAGACATTATGAAAGGTCAAAGGGCTTTAAAGCAGTGCAATCATTTTGAAATGTTTATCATTTACTTATTATGCTTCATTTGTATGTCACTTAATATATTTATGGGAAAATAATATTTTTTTTACATTTTCGATTTGGGCATTACAAGTAATTAAGATGATCGTTTAGATTGTGTTTTTAAACACATCAATAATTCCTAACTCCAAATAAACACAAAAAAACAATATTAATTTGTTTAATTTTCCAATATTATTTTTAACAAATTAAATTAATTATTTACAACTAGAATGCTATTGGATAGTCAGAACAAAGATACAAAATCTAAAGTAGTTGCTCGAAATGTAAACCCAATTGTTCAATACACAATTCACATCTACGAATGATCGAACGTGGTATAGCATTATTCAAATAAGGCCTTATTTCATCACATGCATTCCTGATTCTGTCTATTAGCATATCTCTTGTGGTTACGGGAGTCTGGTACACTTTTTCTTTTAGAAATCCCCACACAAAGAAATCTAATGGATTTAGGTCAGGGGATCGTGGAGGCCAGGCGACTGGTCCTCCACGGCCGTTCCATCTTTCTGGATAATTTTCATCCAGCCAGTTTCTAACTATTCTCGAATAATGAGCTGGATAACCATCAAGCTGGAACCAGGCCAATCTTCTATCTAACATAACATCATCCCACATATTTGCATGTTCAGCCTTTAAAAATTCCAAGAAGGTCGCAGCATTTAACCTTGCAGGCAAAAGGTAGGGTCCAAATAGTCAATTACGGTAGATACCAATCCACACGTTCACACTAAATTCATGCTGAAAATTTCTTTCCCGAACTGCATGCGGATTTTCATGCGACCAAATATGTTGATTATGAAAATTTACCACTCCACGTCTAGTGAAGCATGACTCATCGCTCCATAAAACGTTACTTAAAAACTCCCTATTATTATCAGTTCTATCAAGAATCCACTGACAAAATGTGATTCTTCGTATTCCGTCCCCTGGCTGTAGTCCTTGCACAGGTTGCAAATGGTAAGGACGTCTATGGTCATTTCTAAGAACACGGTGAACATGGCTTGCTGAAATTCCCAAGGCACCAGAAACTCTCCTAACACATGTGGTCGGATCTCTATCAAAGTCACGCAGAATCATACGGGTAAATCTGCGCTGGCGAACATTTATGTTTTGATCCCTTTGGAGATTTCCAAAACCATTTTCAATTATTTGGCGATGCACTCTTACAAATACTGAGCGAGTTGGATGTCGTCTGTTTGGAAATCTTAGTGCGTATTCTCTGGCTGCCTCTGCTGCGTTTCCATTTACAAAGCCATACACAAAATGAATATCCGCTAACTCTTTATTGGAGAATAGAAATGGCATTTTTATAAAACTTACAAAAAAAACAGGTAAAAGAAACTAAATTTCGTGCATTCACAATTGCAAAAAAACGTTTCAGGTTTCAACAGACAACACAACTAATTGACATTTAACCTTATTCTGCTTTCAATTTTAAAAATATATGCAGGCACAGCCTACTTCTAAAAATTATCAAGATACTGACTTTAACGTTATTTTATCATAAATAATTAAAAATGCATCGAAATATCTCAAAAACGGCTACCTATAACGAAAATTCACAAGAGAGCTTTTTTATGTTGAAAAGTGCGAAGAATCAGTTTTTTTATTCAAAAAGCAAAAAAATGCACTAAGTTACAGGTACAGGTACATTAGAGAGCGCGCTCTAGCGACTACAGTAAAACTATGCCCTTGTATACCAATTTTCACTATTATACATCAAATATTGTTGGAAATATTCAAAAAAAACTATTTTAGAAAGTAAATTTAAATACCCTGTATTTCGGAAGCCACGCATTTTTTGACCCATGTTTATATAGACTTTATGCATTAATTTTAAAAGTTCTATCGAATCTTAAAGTTATGCAACAATAAACTGAAACACCCTGTATATACATTTATTTGGAGTCCAAAGTGGCATCAGTAAAGAGTTCTTGTTAAATTGACTCGTCGAGTATATTTGGTGTATACACTGTTTCGCATCGAGGTCAAACTGGTATCGTTAGATAACGTGCTTCAATTGGCATCCAAATTTATATTATGATACTGTTTTTGGTACATAGGACGCCGTATATCATTTTTCTTGAGTCAATTGGTACCCGGACGGTGTTGCCAGCTTTAACTTTAGCACACACTGCTGCGATTAGTTCCACAGAAATGCAGCTCAGTCGGATGGCAGCTGGATAACTTGATAATCTTTTACAACTGCCTTCATGATACTGATCCTGGCTTATTTTGATTAATTTGCACTACAGTTGGAGTAGATATGAAGTATTAACGTTTGACACTACAACATTTTACTATGTTGTATGTAGTTATCATTATGAATGCAAATATCATAATAAATCAATGAATCTTATTTAAAAAATATTCATACTGTTGATTGACACACATGTTAGACAAGTCTTAATACGCAAGCTCCGTCCACAAAGGAGTATGAGATTTTACAGGTCAAAGAAACTTTGAAGGCAATAGTACGGTTGAGTGTTTTAGGCATTGTCAAAAATTCAAGGTACACAAATCTCTAAAATACCCTAAGCACTCTGAATATCTCCAGTGTAACGTTTTTTTTTTTTTTTGGGGGGGGGGGAGTTTAAAAATCATATTCCTTCTATCGTATACTGGCCAATAAATGAAACCGCAGATGCTGCTATTTGATTTTTACTTTGGAAAATACTGCAAAAACGCCAGCAAAGTTCGTAGTTTTACAAACGCGCGTGGTTTCTTTCATTAGCCTGTATAAGAAATATGGACAGGAGGCACAATCACAGGTTGTTCTAGACGTTACGTTTGAGTTCCTCTTATTTATGATCCTGAAGGGGATAAAACGATAATAAGTGGATTCTGCTTGAAAAAGGTGGTCAGTTGCAGTTTTTTACAATTCACTCTCGGTTATTTTCAGACTACTACTAATAACTACTCTACTTTTTTTAATACCAAAGCAACAGCGCAGACAGAAGCCTAAATGCTGGGACACCGCGGCTGCTAT